TGCTATTTTGTACTGACTGCCTTGAATTGTTTTACCTGTTATTGATAGAATGAACAAAGTTAGCCTTAGAGACTTGAAGTGGTATGGTGCAATTCTACAACACACATCAATAATGGGTGGTCTGGAGGGAGAAGAGTCCACAGATACGCTGAGTGGTCAGGCGGTTAGCAAGGCCTGCAACAATCAATAAAGCCTGACCACTGGAGACCACTGTGATATGTCTATAAGAAACTCGCAACTTAATGTGCACCTACAGTCTATAGTTATTAGCTATTGTTTTGACCACTCCCAGACAAAGTGGCATGCATAACAAGAAAAAACTCCACATAGATTGACACACTGAACTTTTTATTTTAGAATTGGATCAGCTACTTGTAAACTGTTAAAACCCCACTTGTTAAGAAGTGACTATCTGCTTTGTGGGAAATAATTTTTCACTCCATTATTCCAAGTTAAGAGGTGAGAAATTGTTATCTGAAAGCCAAATTAACCCTGTGGGATGCTGGGCAAAGCACGCTTGTCCTTTGGCCTAATCAAAACTCCTCAAGTCCTCTCAACTGGTATTACCAGCTGAGGCTAAATGGGAAAACCAATGAGCAATTAAAATATGTCAACCAATTATTTCCTGTGTTTGGATATTATTCTTTTAGTTTGTTACAGAATAGTGGGTCATTTGGTTGATATTCTGCCACCTAATTGCCAAAAGGTTGTCCTACTGTCAGCCAAATTAAAATCAACCAAGCTGAACCAAACAGACGTAAGCCAACTGCACAGTATCAAATCACATGCCAAAGAAATTACGGGAAAAAAGTATTTACACCAGACACCAGATTATTTGGTTTATCTTACAGCCTGCTGAAAGGTAATACATTTTAAGTGGTTGTTAAGAGGGTTTGTGGGGGAAACTTTTTTCAACACTGATTATTTTGGTAGATTTAGTATCAGAAAGTAAGCAAATACCGTAGGATGTTTTTTAGATTGCGGTAACGATAGAAAACATTTGTCCAAATATAAGAAGAAACATAAGCAATCTAGCCAGCCTGTCCTTGGCAAAGCAGAGTTAACCGTCTCCCCCTAAACTCGGGTTGCAGTACATGTTTGGCTGTCATTCACATTCTGTAGGGTGGATTGCAGGGTCAGAAAGAGGTTTTGAAAGCACCGCTGCAGGGAATGCCAATCAGCCATCAGGGCACTACAAACATAAGCTTGGAGTGAGGTTATAGGCATGCGAGCAAGGGCATTTACATAGTGGTTAGCATTCAGCTGCCAAGTGTAAGCTATAATACTGAAGGTAGTGGGGGAATTCTTCACCATTCTGACGGACCTCCAAACTGTGCTAGTACAGTTCAGATTTTGACTGATGTACAGGGTGAGCATTAAGCATATACAGAATATAATACCCGATACTGGCAATTATGATGATAACCGACGCTGCTGATCACAGCTCCAGAAAACAGACTGCATGCACTGAACCCGTATATGACTACAAGTACTTTAAGCTGTGACCAGCAGCTCTATAGCTTGCTATGTCGGTTGGTTGAAATTTCCCCGCCCTTTGGCGGCCACAGTTTTCACCCTAGAAGGCTAAAATTCGGTATGGAGTTCAAGTTTTGGAGAGTGAGCTGGAGGTGTGTGTGTGTGTGTGTGTGTGTGTGTGTGTGTGTGTGTGTGTGTGTGTGTGTGTGTGTGTGTGTGTGTGTGTGTGAGAGAAGGTGTGTGTTGTATCTATGCCCATTGGCTAAAAGATGGCGTGGCAGTGGCCTATAACAAAAAGCTGCATAAGTTCTAAACAGATTCAAGTAACCTAACTTTGTATAAAGACACACTTCCCGTCCCCTTTCACACCTCATGAAGTGGTTTGTGAAGGTGTGTGTCGCATACATGTACAGTGGGTACGGAAAGTATTCAGACCCCTTTAAATTTTTCACTCTTTGTTTCATTGCAGCCATTTTCCAAAAATCAAAAAAGTTCATTTTATTTCTCAGTAATGTACACTCAGCACCCAATCTTGACAGAAAAAAAAACAGAAATGTAGAATTTTTTGCAAATTTATTAAAAAAGAAAAACTGAAATATCCCATGGTCATAAGTATTCAGACCCTTTGCTCAGTATTTAGTAGAAGCACCCTTTTGATCTAATACAGCCATGAGTCGTTTTGGGAAAGATGCAACAAGTTTTTCACATCTGGATTTGGGTATCCTTTGCCATTCCTCCTTGCAGATCCTCTCCAGTTCTGTCAGGTTGGATGGTAAACGTTGGTGGACAGCCATTTTCAGGTCTCTCCAGAGATGCTCAATTGGGTTTAAGTCAGGGCTCTGGCTGGGCCATTCAAGAACAGCCACGGAGTTGTTGTGAAGCCACTCCGTTATTTTAGCGGTGTGCTTAGGGTCATTGTCTTGTTGGAAGGTAAACCTTCGGCCCAGTCTGAGGTCCAGAGCACTCTGGAAAAGGTTTTCGTCCAGGATATCCCTGTACTTGGCCGCATTCATCTTTCCCTCGATTGCAACCAGTCGTCCTGTCCCTGCAGCTGAAAAACACCCCCACAGCATGATGCTGCCACCACCATGCTTCACTGTTGAGACTGTATTGGACAGGTGATGAGCAGTGCCTGGTTTTCTCCACACATACCGCTTAGAATTAAGGCCAAAAAGTTCCATCTTGGTCTCATCAGACCAGAGGATCTTATTTATCACCATCTTGGAGTCCTTCAGGTGTTTTTTAGCAAACTCCATGCGGGCTTTCATGTGTCTTGCACTGAGGAGAGGCTTCCGTCGGGCCATAAAGCCCCGACTGGTGGATTGCTGCAGTGATGGTTGACTTACTACAACTTTCTCCCATCTCCCGACTGCATCTCTGGAGCTCAGCCACAGTGACCTTTGGGTTCTTCTTTACCTCTCTCACCAAGGCTCTTCTCCCCCGATAGCTCAGTTTGGCCGGACGGCCAGCTCTAGGAAGGGTTCTGGTCGTCCCAAACGTCTTCCATTTGAGGATTATGGAGGCCACTGTGCTCTTAGGAACCTTAAGTGCAGCAGAAATTTTTTGTAACCTTGGCCAGATCTGTGCCTTGCCACAATTCTGTCTCTGAGCTCTTCAGGCAGTTCCTTTGACCTCATGATTCTCATTTGCTCTGACATGCATTGTGAGCTGTAAGGTCTTATATAGACAGGTGTGTGGCTTTCCTAATCAAGTCCAATCAGTATAATCAAACACAACTGGACTCAAATGAAGGTGTAGAACCATCTCAAGGATGAACAGAAGAAATAGACAGCACCTGAGTTAAATATGAGTGTCACGGCAAAGGGTCTGAATACTTATGACCATGTGATATTTCAGTTTTTCTTTTTTAATAAATTTGCAAACATTTCTACATTTCTGTTTTTTTCTGTCAAGATGGGGTGCTGAGTGTACATTACTGAGAAATAAAATGAACTTTTTAGATTTTTGGAAAATGGCTGCAATGAAACAAAGAGTGAAAAATTTAAAGGGGTCTGAATACTTTCCGTACCCACTGTATGTTGTTGCAGCTATTGCAAATTCACGCTTGTTTTAAAAGAAGAAAAAAAAAATCCAAGTTACAATAGCTAGCATAAAGACTGAAACACATCAAGTAGCACTGAAGAATTGTGTCAGCCAAGACAGCCCAATAATATCCAGAATATTCATGGAGGAATCTCATACACCCTTGGCGGACAGATGGGCAACTCTCCGACTCTACTCTACATGTTCCCCAAGGCCTCTCTAAACTTTTGTTTTCATGACCACAGAAGCTGTTGTCCACCATGACAGGCACAGGCAACCACAACTCCGGCCATAAGTCCACAGTTAAAGACCTCGCAGACAGGGACCTCAGCCAGATGTCCCCATTTCACTCTAACTGCCCATTTGGGTTTACCAGCTGTGTCTGGCAGCAACCCCACAAAAACCTGATCCACCAACCGGTGGAACGTAGCAGCTCTGCCTCTCTTTTCATTCAAGAATCTGAGACATTTATCCAAAGATCAGACCAACTTACAACTAACAATCGATCATTGCTCTGTGGCTCAAGGTGTTCTGGTACCTTGTGGCTCATTCACACAAAAACCACACCATGCCTGGAGGGACTCAGCGAGTGGCTGGCTCCTAGTATGACCTGTATAAGAAATACAAATTGCTTGAACATGGTGGCCATTTTGGACAGATCAGGGAGGCTGTTCCTTCCAGGACCTCAGTGTTGACTTCCCTCAGCAGAACTATGGAGTCCCTTGGCAGTATCCTCTCTAGAACCCTCCGACAGACTCCAAATGAAAGCCTTCCTCTCCATTACATGCCGTTGCACAAACATTACCATCTGTTTCTCTGTGGAACTCCAACACAGTTGCAGCAAGGGGCTCATGAGTATTCCCAAATGTACCCAGACTCTTTCAGAAACATCTAGTTGGTAACACTGCACCTCCCACACTATTCTACTAGAGAGGTACCTTTCCACATCCCAAGAGACACACATATGCTATTTCTGTGCTCTGGGTCACCTGAGACTGAGTTTGAAGTCTGTCTGTCTCAAAGCTAGAAGCAAAAGAACCAATACACACCTGATGAATTCATCAAGAAAACTCGAGGTTTGAGAAAAATTCCTTGAGGTCTGCTGATTTCACTGTGCTGACTGGTTTTCGCATATGGTGAATAAATTGTCCCAGTGAACAAAGATCAGAGGAAAAAGCAAATGAATTCTGTGTGATGGGTGATTTTCACTTAAATTTTCAACAGTGGGCTATCATTCAATCACTCATTATGTCATTCAGCCATTTCATCATGCTTTCATCCTTCAGGCTATTCATTTATTTAACATTAATATTCATGGAAGCAAAAATCCACTTCATATAATACTGTCAGTGATCTTTTTAATTAACATTCTGAAAAATGTAAATTACCCCTTAAATATCAGCAACACTGCGGGATCAAGCACTGAGACTGCATATAACTGCGTACACACACACACACACACACACACATCTCCAACTCACCCTCTCCAGGTCTTGTCGGAGATGTGTGAAGAGTTTGAGGCGTCTGTAGAGGACATCCTGCTCCTGCTGGGCCAGGTTGTCCACCTCGTCCCTCTTTAAGGTCACCAGAGGTCGATTAAAGTTGCCCTTCCTCTTCAATTTCCAGAACTGATATAAGAAGTCCACCTTTGAAGAAGAAACAAAATATTCCCACTTTTTATTATTATGTTCTCATGATGTCGGTTGATTGAGACATCAATTGCCTCAAGAAACAGCAAGGAAAATCTAACAATAATAAAAATTGAATGGGTAAGTGCAGCCTTACGATATTATCACTTTGCTGAAAATCAGTGAATTCACTGAAGATCTGGATTTATTATTTATCACTCACAACAATATACTTCTACTACACTTGCATATTTTAAACTGACAAAAAAATGCACTTAAAAACTGTTTTGAATGTACAAACTTCAGTAATAACATTTACTCCAGTTGTAGCCTTCCATTATAGTAACAAAAAAAAGCTCTTGCCTGAAGCTACAACCATGTTTGGAAAACTGAGACCAGTTAATTACGCCGAGTTCTTAACAAAGGAGTGATTTATCAGACAGTTTACCTGTGAACAGGGAGCACTTTATTTGATGCACGAGTCGGCACTCTGAATGCAACTCATAATACCACATCTGATTAAAATTAATTAATTGCGGAAGCCAAACTCTTCATCTCGACAATGTATGATTAACTGTGCATTCGAAATACTTGGTAAAGATCAGAATAATGTTGTGCAGGAAAATGGAGTGACCTTATCACGTTTTTTTATATCATGGACGAAAAGTTCTTAAATTGCTCCATAGATATTGTGATATTGTGATTCATCAAACCAGACGGTGTTTGCTTGTATTTAGTTGTCCAGTGTCCAGTTGTCCAATCACAAGCTTTTTGTTCTTAGTAGACAGAAATGGAACTTTCCATCTACTTCACAGTTAACGGTTTGTCCTGAGACGCCATGCTGTATGTCACAGAGAGCTGTTTTCACCTGTCTGTCAATCCCGTCTGCAGGCTTGATACTTGTGCTTTATTTATACCTGACTCATTGTCTGGAGGAGTCCGTTATTTTTGGTACACATGGAGGTGTAACTACTACAATAAATGACAAGTGTGTGGTATATTTTTTTCCATTTTATATCACAAATCATACTGTTTCAGTTCCATGACTTAACGTACCTGGGAGATGGGCAGCGCCAGGTTTTCGGCCACCTCGCTGGGATCCACCAGTCGGTAAAACTCATCCTCAAGCTCCTGGAGTTTCTGTTTCCTCTGGCTCACCTTCTCTCTCTCCAGTTGTTCCCGCTCAGCTCGCTCTGATGCAGACACGGGAACTGGGTACAACACCGACCTCTGCTCCGGGTCACTGCTGCTGTTTGGCTGGTGCTGCTGGTCCGGCCGGAGCTCAGAACTGACACCCGCAGTGGCACAGTCAGGTCTGGCGGCGGCGGCGGCGGCGTGTACTCCGCTGGTGGTGGAAGTGTTGGTGTGATTGCAGTTGCTCACACTGGTCAAACTGGAGGTGCTGTTGATGGTTGTACTACTGTTGCTGGCGGTGCAGCTGTGCTCCAGGCAGAAGGACTTGAAGCGCACCTCGTCGTTCTCTGCCAGGATGGTCCTCATCTCCAGGCCGTGGTCGAAAGCGCAAGTCACATGGAAGGCCACGATACAGGAGGGCATGGAGCACTGGGAGGGGAAAAGAGAGAGGACATACAGTTAAGGGCAGAGATAGAGTAAGAGAACTAAAAGGGAAGGTGGTATAGTAAGACAAGGTATGAGGGAAGAGAAGGAAGTAGTGAGTGATGTAGGAAGCTAAAGAAAAAATTCAGGAATTACAGAAGGAGATATAAAAGTTAGAATGGAAGAAATAAAAGTTAGAATGGAAAGTAAAACAATGAAAGGGAAATCCTATTTGAGTGTTACTTCTGTCTCTGGGTTCATTAAAAACAAAACAGATTGAAATGCTTGGTGGAAAAGAAACTTAACGCTGCATCACACATCCACGTAAACACAAACATTTTTTTCTTCAATTTGTCACAACTATTTGTTTTAAAGTGTCATTTTCGCTCCATTTCTTGTGCCATCAAGGTTCTAATAGAAGTGCAGCAAGGCAGAACAACAAGCCAAGTCACAACAAACACAGTTCCCCCATTTCTGCTGACATTTCGGTAACTTGGGATGTGTGTTACTGTGTGTGTGTGTGTGTGTGTGTGTGTGTGTTTTCTTAGCGCTATCCATTACAGGTCATACTAAGAGGCGTCCTCCCGCTGAGTCCCTCCAGGCACGGTGTGATTGTGCCTGTGTGAGCCCTTGCGGCTATGTGTTGTTGTCGCTATGTGCATGTACATTTGTAAATGTGCGTGTGCAGGTCGATGCTTGTACTTTTCAGAGGAGTTCGGTATTCAGCAGGATGCTGACTCTCTTCTCTGGGTTGTTTATGACTCTATCCTACTGACTGAACTGTGCCGGAAACAACTTGTGTCTACCATTTTCACAGACAACCTTTTCCTTTCCTGGACCAACTGCTTTCAGCAAAAGTTACATTTTTAAAAGTTTAATATTAAAAGCAAAATACACAGCAGCATTTTTAAACAGTAAAACCCACTGTACAAATAATGGTTAAGAGAGGCAAACCTTATTTAACACATAAAAATAGTATTTATTTGTTGCTGTGAAAGAAACCATTTCCTATTAAAAGGATAGTCCTTATGAAGAGTGTTTGACTGGTACCGGGCTCCAGAACATTCCCTGATGTGGTTTATATGATGAGCATATAAAGGCTTTTACTATCTATTTTTGCAGTAATTACCTTGAACTCAGGCTGGTCTGCGCTACATTTGTTCTCATCACTCCCTGTCACACTCCCCAACAACAATGTACTTGAAATATGTGTGAGGCTGTAACCTGGGTGCTGCTGAGAGGTCTATATGTGTTCTTTGTTAATGTGGAGAGGAACTACAAAAAATGTTTAGTTTCTATGTTGCCCTCTGTCATGTGCCATCTTTTCCCTGTCACTCCTCCTGAGCTAACAACAGGGGTGAGGGAGGTATGTTTGTGGCAGCTCCATATCATACTGTATTTGCTAAACCATGCCCACTTTTAAGCACTCCAATCAAATATTCTGTTTCATACAGTAAGAAGTCATAATACAAGTGCAGTGTTATTCTCTTCTCATTTGTTCCTTTTATAGCTGAAACTTGATGTCTCACTAATCTCATCTGACATACACTTCAATGTTCAGCCTTCAGATTGTCAACTCTTTAAAATATATTTAAATGAGAAAAACTGCCATCAATCCACTAAATCACTGACTAAACAAAGTGAGTGATGGAGGAGCAGAAGGCGTGATCAGATAATGACATAACTGCTATGTATGAAAAACCACTATAGATACATCAAGTGGAGTTACAGTCGTAGGTCTACACTGTAGAGCCATTTTTATTACCAATATCCCCAAATGCCAGAGTGAGCCCGCTGCAGCTGCTATCACTTATTTGGTGTCAAAAGGCAAAAGGTTGAACACAGCGTGGAGCCGGCTAGATGTGTTGTTTGGTACGGGCCGAGTCATCACAAAAAGTACTCATCTGGCCTTTTCAAATGCACCTGCTCAGTTCTGGCAGAGATTCATTAATAATGTTTTTATCACTGCTCACACTGACTCAACAGCATGCTAGTTTGACTGTTTAGTTATTACCAACCCTTTGCATGAGTTAACCAGAAAAAAAGAACGATCTGGGCCCGTATTCATCAAATTGGTAAAAGTGATATTTTGTAAGTATAAGGAATAAGTTATATTTCCTCTAATGTACCAACAACAGACCTTCCTCCCCGCTTCAGTTTGGTTGTTTTTTGTTCCAAGTTCAGGAACTTAAATCACACGTCACTGTCAGTAGGAATAAGTCACCTAATAAATGTGACTTATTCTTCACAATAAGCAAAAACATCTTTTACTCCTAGGTTGGCACTTCAAAGCATTTGTAAGTGTGATTCTTAAAATTTTTATAAATATGGGCCCTGGCATGTTTCTGACAAGACAAGAAATCCTCAACATTAACATTCTTGATTGCCATTAGTTTTCCTACACTGCTAAATTACGGTATTTTATTATTTTATCATAATTATACAGTTTTACAGTTTTGTCTTAAGACAAATACAATACCATTACACTAGTACTTTTCACATTCATCTGTTCAGCAATCCTAGTTAATTAAGAGGTGGCCACTGGACAGAGGATAGCAGCAATTTAAAATAAATCTAATCTTGAAAATTTTATCTACTCCAAATATCTTGTTTGGCAAAATTTGAGAACTCAAACTGGCATGCTTTGGTGTGAGACATTCATCATAAATATACAGGCCTACCTTTTCATTTATAATATTATTAAGTGAAGAAATCCAGTTGAAATCATGGATTTTAAGACTTGACAGCACAGCTTCAGTATATCACACGCCCATCTCATAGTTTCCCTGAAGATGTGATGTGTTGATCCTTGGATGGAGAGACAGACTGACACCTGAGGAATATTGATGATATGTGCTGCAATATTTTATTTATTAATTTTCAAAAGCTTTGATTTTCCTCAAATCCACAAGCATTCAAAGATTTTCATGCCCAGTGGAATCCACGCTTACTTAGACTATCTCAATTTTCATTTGAAAACTTTTTTTTTTGCCCTCAGACATTGATTTGTCTGAATTTTAGCCTTTCATGTGTTGTCCTACACAGTGTAGGCCTACACTAAAAACAGTGTCACAACAGTACTATAGTCTCAGCTAAATCTAGGCTAAGCTAACTCTTAGGGGAAAGCAGAAACCATTAATGTAAAGATCGGACTCCTTATCATTCGGTTTTTATTTCCTGTCTTTACGGTTGTTAAAATCATCTGTCTGAGAGTATTACATAGGTATTTTCATCTTGTTGCAGCTTCTTACTGAAGCTATATCATGGTTACACTTTGTAAAATATTTAAACCCATGAAAGCATGTTTTTAAGGCTGCACCATTTCATCAAATGGAAATATATCTTCTATATGTATAGTGCTTAATTTTTACACATTTTCTCCCAAAATTCAGCCTTTATATTTATTATTTATCTTTGGAAAGTTTGTTTCTGTATGTTTAAACGATATTTGGCAGCACAGCCTGAGTTTGTAACCTAAAAACTCACCCACCGGTGGGCCAGTGCTTGTTAAAAGGCAGTCTTGATTCATTTTCAGAACATTTTCCAACTTATTCTGCTGACATGTTTTTGCTGTACCATTTGTAATGTAATGCTGCTCCTATAGCATGGCTACAGGTATTTTAATCGAAAGGACTGCCATGTTCCTCTGAAATCTGTGAAGAAAACAAACTAACCATGAAGCAGAAAGACTCCCTATTACAGAGGAGTGTTGTTCACGGACTGACCGTCTTTAACAAATAGAGTACAGGCTTGACTAGCTGACCTTTCCAGTGCACCTTCCTTTAATAAAGCACTAATTAAGAGCCTCATTAAACTTGGATAACTTGCCAATTACTACAGTGAGTCATTAAATACAAATATTTAGGTCTGAACACTCTGAGGCACCTGACTATCATTATGGGAGGAACTGTCAGCACATGAAAAGAGACACAGCAAGGTATCATTACATGAATGAAAGCATGTTATCATCAAATTACCAAAAGATGAAATTACCAAAGACTTAAGGTATCTTAGAGCAACGTGGCTTACACTATCAAAAGTGGTCTAGAAGGTAGGAACTCCGATCTGGTCTGACCTACTCTTAGGGATGGGTATCGCTACTCGATACCTTTAAAAGGTATCGGCCGAAACAGCCCAGTATCGAGTACAATCGAAACGTCTCCATTCAAACCAGTACTTCAATCGATACTTTTTGTAACCAGATTGTGGCAAAAATTACTATCTGTATGGTTTTGCTTGCAGCTAAATACGCAAACAACACACTAAAAGAAAGACAAGAGCACGCCTTTTTTTCCTTATGTGCCTTCACCATTAACTGTATAAAAAAGGCCTGCACGTGCCAAGTCCATGGGTGATTTTAACAGTCGCTCACCTTCGGCGCGGTCTCAGGCATAATCGTCACTTATGCAAGTTTATCACCACAAACTTGGCTTTTCATTGGTTTCATCTTCTGGTATCATTTAACACTTCTCTGTAAATTTTTATTTGCTATTCACATCACTTGTCAATGAATAAAATAGATAACCTTGCTTGTCCATAACAACATAAAAAATAATAATACTACCAATCATCTACTATGGCTTCAACAGGTGGCATTTTATGAAAGGTATCGAATGAAGTACTCAATTGGTATCGTTATCACTTTAAGGGTACTGGATTTGGTACTGGTATCGTACAATTTTAAACAATCCCCAACGATACCTACTCTACATTAAAAACACATTGAAAATAGCAACAACACATACATATACTGTAAGTTGTCTTCTAAAGATGCATAAGAGCGATAACAATAATGCTCCTTATATTATATAAGTGTGCTCAAAAACCTCAGGTGGCCTAAATGACAGCCCACAGCAAGTATAAAATTTTTATTCTCTTACAGACTCTCATGTGCTTAAACTTTTAAAGATAGAAAACTGATTGTTATCTCATACTTTCTCCTACATTAAAGCCTACACAGGACTCATGCCGCTCATGGTGCTGTGTAGCACTGCATCTCTGCCTTCTGTGTGAAGTAACAGCTGATCAGTGAGAGTGTTTGTACAGCCGCCTGCCTCCAGCCAGGGAAACAGGAGAGAGAGAGAGACTCTCACTGAGAGTGATTTTGACTCGAGGACTCCCTGTTAATCTACTGCATCAAAACTGCGATACCCCAACCGCTGCACAAACAAGCATCACACACACAGACACACATTCACGCACATTTACATCCAGCACACATTTATATACACAGTACGTATTCACACACATATGGAGTGTAGGGCTTTAGGAATCTAGTTCACCTTGGGGATACTGAATGGTCCGCAGGCTAATAGCTATAAAGTGGGTTAGTGTTAGCGTGTCAGCGGGGGTTTCGTTTACGAACTCAGGAGCATGTTAAAGAGGTGCCGGGTTCAAACTGATCCACCCAAGCCCAGCGGGAGGCTAAGAAGTACGATGATCTGTGTTGTTGAGAGACATTTCTGTGTGTGTGTATGTGCTGAGTTTATACTGCATATATGTTTATGCTGCTTTGCTGTGCTTATGTGTGTATTTAGGTATACTATTTTGTGTGGGTGTGCCTGTAAGGCTTTATGTCAGAAAGCACATCTGTTTGTAAAGCTGAGTGGGTTTAAACTTGGGTTCGAAAGTTGAATGTTGAACATTGAATTTCACAAACAATAAAAACAAAATTGTTTTGATCCCAATGCCACCTCCAGATGATGTACAGCATGCATGCAGATGGCATGAGGGTTGGGTTAGTGAGAAGACGAAGAAGAATAGGAGGAGGAGAGGAAGAGGAGGAGTGAAATAAACACTGTATATGTACAGAAACAAATAATGTGATTATTACACTCCTTCGCCACAGAAGGAAAATCTGAAAATATCAAGATTTAGAAAAAATCTTTATAAACTATTAAAATGATAATCCAACAAGCAGCGGGAGGTTTACCCTCAGGTCTTAACCTAGCTTAACGTTATTGTTAAAGTGGTAATGAAGAGCGGGCATCTAAATTTGTTTTATTAGTGTTCAGATAAGATTTTGGGCATGTTTAAAAAAAGACAAAAACTTAATTCATAACAGAACTTGAGTGGAAGTTTAAGCATTGCAAATTTTAAGACACTGACATCACTTTATAACATAAGATGCAGTGATACGTACCTGTATGCAGGTTCCTGTGTGTTCTCGACACAGGCTGCAGGACAGAGCCCAGCGGCTGGCGGGGATGTGGGACACCTTGGTAATGGGCTCCATCTTCTCTGGACAGCCTATACTCACCTACAGGGAACACATAACAGGTAGAAATACATACATCAAATAATCAGCATCAACTAATCATCTAAAATGTTTATATACAGCACACTGTTTTGCACGTACAATTATGACTGTGGGCAAGTGAAGATGATGTGAAGTGCAAAATGGAGGAAAAGAGAGAAAATAGCAAGGGACAAAGAAGAGACAGGCCAGAATGACAGAAAATATCCAAAGTATGGGATCTTTTCAAGCTAAAAAAACCCCAACAACTCTCTACAGTGCGTCTACTGTAAAATGGAACAAGCCTACCGCAACAGCACAACGACAATGTTTCAGCATCTGAGCAGAAAGCTTCCAGTCTACGCATCCAAGCAGCGAACCCGGAACAAATTAATGTTAACATTAGTATTAAACATAAATCATGATTGCTTGTTGAAATGAAGGCTAGCAAACGTAAGGCACAATTCTTAGTTGTAAATTTATAACTGTGTGTTTGTTGTTATTGTTGTCTGGCTGGTTAGTCTGTGACTTTGGGTTGTATCGATTCTATCGAATCTAAAATAATCGATAGCTGCAGCCCTACATCTATAAAGTTTTAGTGTTGAAATTATTAATTTGACTAATTTCTTAAGCAAAATACCAAATACATTCTGGTTCCAGCTTTTCAAATGTGATGATATTTTTCTCCGTTTTGGATCAAAACTGACTAAATTTCAACTGAATATCGGTGGCTGGTGGTCGGATAAAAGAAGCAATGTGAAGACGTCTTCTTGGCTCTGAGAAACGTGAGACGGGTATGTTCACCATTTTGTAAGCGATTAAGTAAATAAATAAAATTAAAAGTGGGAGTTGTGATGCCTCATAGCACATTTATTTAATTATAGATATGTCACAATTAACAGCTGGAAAACATGCTGTGATCTTTTTATTTCGCACAAAATCTTTCATTTGATAAAACAATCTGCCAAATCTTCCACTGAATAATGATAATCAACTTGCATGTAGCTTGAATGACAATTTCAAATTCTCCCAAATTTCAAAGCCAGGATGTCGAATTAGACGGTCTGTCTTTGGACCCAGAGTAGGGACACCTGTGCTCCTTGGAAAATCATTATTGTAAAGCACAGTGTGACTCACTCTCTCTGAGCGGTCTATTCAGAGCGGCTTTGGCCCTAAAACTTGCTCCACCAAATACAACCACAAAGTCATTGACCTGTGCCAACCAGCCATGCAGAATAGAGTGGAGAGCACTCATCACCAAAGTGCCATTTCTTCCTTCCTTCCTCTGCTTCCTTCTTTCCAAGAACCATTCCACCTCTTTCACATTAACTTATTCTCATATTTGCGGTATGGTCCTCCTTCCTTGTCCTTCATGCTTGCGTTAACAAGCCGACAACTGATTTCCACAGGTCGTGCCCCTCCCTCTCTTCAACCACTTGTCCTTCTATCTGATTTTCTTTTCCTCCTCTCATCTGCTCATCCACAGAACGAACCCACTGCCTCGGTTCTTTCTGTTATTATTGATGTCTTTTGTAGAGCACACCCAATCGGAGTAGAGGTCAATTTTCACTCCATTGAGGATGTCAATAGAATGTGTGATTCAGACAATGATGCCACAGCGGTCACCGTCAATGTTAGCTTCTTTTACACAGCTGATGTGCGGACCGATCGATTGCAAATAGGATTTCCAGTTTTTGAATGCTGTAGTTAAGTTCCTGGCAATCCCGATGCCCACACATACAGCACATACTGTGTGCAGGTGTGCACACTCTCACAGACACACACACAGAAACACTCAGATAGGTTGCACTTCACACAAATCCTCCACCTTCCCCTCTTTTGTTGGTTTGTCAATACCCAAAATACAGAAACGTCAGGGCTGTAGCTTTCTATGCGTGTGTGTGTGTGTGTGTGTGTGTGTGTGTGTATAATCACATGCAGGCCTTTAATATGCTCATTCCCCAATGAGAATATTCTAGCCCCAATTACTTCACATTTCAAAGCCTGTAGATGGAAAACTGACAAAATTTGAAATCACTTCAGTGGAAATGTGTGGAAATCACAGTGTTAAATGAAAAAGCATTTTATAGGAGGGGATCCAGTATGTGTGTGTTTGTGCGTGTGTGTATGTGTGCGCGGTGAAAAGCCCCTTAAAGAGAGACCTCTCTCTGGGGGTTGAAGGCAGAGGGCAGAAGGCAGCTACACACAGCACTGCAGGGGGGCTGTATCGTTTGAAGGCTGGGTGGTGTGTTCACACACACAAACATGGGCACACACGAACACAAACACACACATACACACAAAAATGTTCCAATCCAGCACTCTCTATGAATGAGACTCTCACACACAGAGCCTCTTTTCTGGAAGTTTCCACTATCATATTCAGTAGAAATTGTGATGTGTGTGTTGTGTTTATTTGTGTAGACGTCTGCTATTAACACCTCTTTAGCTCATGTAAGCACACACAACTGGGCCTTTGCAAGGGCACGCGCACAAACGCACATACATGCAAATTCCCCCCCCCCACGATAGGAAGAGAAAACAAAAGCGAACGGAGCAACGAAAACAATTAGCCCAATCAAGGGTGACAGAAGGCAATTAGAAGTAAAAGGTTTGAGCTGCCAAAAGCTACTCTATTACTGAGAAATCTGCTGGTGGAGTGTGTTGTTGAATAGGCTGAAGACACATGACTGACTCTTTTAACAGTTTAAAGGTGTGTGCAAGGCGTGAAGCAACATCCGTCCCTGAACCTCCAAAATAAGCGGCTGCTTTTTGTCCATTTGAAGCTTTCAGATGAAACATTTTCAAAACGTATAATCAAGACACATCAAGTCCAAATGAGTGGCTGCATGGGCTACACGCTAAAGCTGACGATAAATCGTATTTTCATTGTCATCGTGATATGAAAATGCGCCATAAAAGACATTGCAATAGAGTGCTTGAAAAGCAATGAATAAGAAAAATAATTTTATTTGGGGATGGGTACTGAGAAGAGATAACGTAGTATTTATTATCACGTTGCAGCCTCTGCCCTGCTCTCTGTGTTGGGGCAGAGTTCCACTAAACACACACGGAGTGAAATCGGCTAATAAGCACACTTCAGTATTGTGTGTTCAATTATCCAAAGTCATATCGTCATCACAATATCGAACAATGTTACTGCACATCGCAGATTTTCCTCATATACTACAAGCTTGGCAAACAGGTTCCTTGAGAATCAATCGACATTTATCTACAGACTGTTGTGAATGAGGTCTTGACTGAAGAAGCTACATGAAGTATTTTAAGCATTTACTGTAAAGAAGGAAACCCTGGTGGAAAAAAATTATATTTTCATAATGTAGGCCACACTTCCCGTAAACCCTGCTGTTTCTGATTTTTTCAAGTCCACTCATATGCCATGTGGACACTGAAAGAGTTATGGGTCACAGTAATCATCCCTCCTCTCCATATGGACTGTGGAGCAATAACTTCATTGAGGGACTACAATGTAAGAAATGGGCAACTAAATTCACAGTCAAGTCAGCTCAAGCTAATATGAGAGTTGGGGTTAACAAAATAAAGTGGCTATTTTCCATCAGTGGAACCTAGGCACAAATGTCAGGACAAAGATAGTCAACTTGATTTAGCTAAGTCAGACTGGTGAAGCCTCATATTAGCTTTGACTGAAGTGTGTAGAGAAGGTATTGTTTCAGTCAGTATAGAGAGTAGGGATGCTTACAGTGACTCATTGCTCCTTTAATGTACATATAGAGTTGTATTAAGATAGACTTCCAAAAATACCAAATCTGCTTTGTTCCATGAAGCAAAATTTTAAAATGCTAAATTGAACCTAGAGGCTAAAAACATAAACTGCACCATAGACTCAACTAGGAAGTGCAAATCCTCCCTTTTAATCTTACATATGTTTAAATTTTAAATACAATAACTCCTTCATCAGTTGTTGCTATTCACTGAACTTTAATGGCCACGCAACCACCATCAGTGGAATTTGTTTTTCTTTCCAGCATGGAAAAAAACACTCTGAACGTTGGGCCGTCATATTTTCTTCATCCTCTTTTCTACTGGACAAAAGTAAAATCATCTGACCCCTTAAGAAATGAAACTGTCTAATGAAAACATGTTTGGACCGATATAATAAACAGTAACTAAATTGTTAAGATAAACAGCCACTGTGGCGACTGACAGTACATCTATTTCCTATTAACACCCAAATAAATTGAATCCATTACACGCAAGAGGTACAAGACAGTATATTTGGACTTGTTTATGTTATGTTTATATGCGTACAGAATGTTTGCCAAACTTAATGGAGATTTTCTTTCACTTTTTAACCTTATAAAGATTCAAGAAAAGCTGAAGTGTAAGCGTATTGTTTTCAGAGATGGATGTAGTGTCGTTTGGGTTGAGGATGAGAAAAAGTGCAGTCAAAGCACAAGTGCAGGAGTCAAAGTAATCACCATGTGGGTCTTCGTCAAAACATGTAAAAACACCACACTGTCTTTCATGGTGTGGACACCTCGTCCAATGACACCTTGTTTACATACTTGTTTTAAACACCACACACATACAGTAGTGCTCCAAACTCTCTTTGCCTTTTCGTGTTTATGTAGTTGCTGACTCCACTGAGCTAAAGTAGGATAGATGGATTTTTACACAAATTTTGACAATGACTACAGCTGTATGTACTCATGCAAATATAAACAACAACCACTCACTGTCTAGAGCCACTTTGCACCAATATGTGTGACTGGGATCATCAACAAAAACCCCCCAGGTGCAACCACAGCTAACTGATCACTTTGAATCTACTGATGTGCCTGCAGGCCTATCTTTGATTGGAAGAATCAAGTCTGGAACCAATTATACATCATGGAGAAATGAGTATATTAAGCACAAGAACACTCTGAGGTTGACTGAGGGCATGCATGACAAAAAAGGAAACTGGAACTCTTATCTATATCAGACTGTATTTGGATCTTTTGGCCATTTCAAACCCCGTCTCTCCTTCGGTCTTACCTCGGGGATCCATAAGGCACAGCTGACGTGGACCCACTTGGTTCCACTGCGGGTGGGCTTGAGGGCCCCCCCTCTCTTAGGGCAAAGCAGACATTTGGGCTGGACGCCCAGAGCGCAGGTCCGACACAGCCAGTTCCCCTGGGGTACCTTCAGGATGCCATAACACGCCTGCAACAGGGATAAAAAGAACGACAAGTTAGGATGATGTGAAGAAGTCAGACAAAGAGAGACAATAAAAAACAAACTATTCCTTTAACATGATTTTGTAATAAATCGGGCAAATAAAGCGTACTATTAAAATACCATACAAGAGGTTTTGCATGCTGAAGCCAATAAACTACCAACTACCCTTAATATAAAATATTGGTGACCATTTCCCTACCTTCTCCCTACCTAATTTAGTGCCTTCCATTTTTTTCAGGGCGCTATGACGCACTTTAATATTTCATATTCTATCCTTAAAAGGTATGTTATCGTCACAAAATGACAGCAGTGAAGCTTCAGCATTTGAGATTTGACAGTCAGCGTCTGTGCCATGCATTCACAAGCCATGCCATCAGGAAATTAAACCCAGAAGACACACATTGAATACACATGGACATTGTTAAACAGTTTGGAGGCTAGAATTTTCCCACAAGTGCAAAAACAGCTTCTGCTGGCTACTGAATTTCTTTTACCATGTCTTGCTTTCCCAACCATATACTGAGCTGCCTGGAACATGGGAAATTGTGGTGTGCTAGTAATTTTGTGGCAATTTAGACTGATATTCTGCCAAATGTTTGCACGAAGTCTGCTGAAACATGTAAACTCCTTGTTAAATAAATTACTAATAAAATGTATTATCATACATTTATATATATATTTGGCATTATAAAATACATGACAATGCCATTTAATTAAATATATTCATTATTTTGAGATATGTTTTTGATCTGCTTCAATAAAGAAGTAAGAGAGTGGCCAGACTGGAGGAGAGAAAGAAGATAATTTAGAACAGGCTGGATTTGAACTCAGGCATGATTTGAACCAGCTACGCCACAGGGCCATCCCATCATCTTGTTTTTATGTCAGAGTCCTTTTCATTTTTGAAAAGAGCCCACATTCAGTTGCCACTGCTTCCATTTACAGTCTGCTGCTTATTTCTTCTGTCATTTCAAATGAGCAAATTCACAAATTCATTCTCCTTTTTGCCTCATCATACAACTCTTTAAAGGTTATGCTCACTGCTGCACACAACAAAACACAAGCCAAGCCACTCTTAAACAATTCATCCCCATCTTATTGTCCCAACCAAAACTTTACTTTTAACTGGAAAGTAAATTGGACATTTTCAAAAAGTCACTTATCATTGTATCATCAATCTGCCACCTATTTCCCTTTCCACTAACATCCAGGGTTTCTCTGAATTTTTCATGGCAGCATAATAGCACGCTGCCTTATATTTGATAAGATTCAGTCCCCAGGGTCAGAAACAGAGAATTATTTCATTGTCAGATATAATTTACTCCTAAACGGTTTCAAAGTGCCTCTGCTGTGGGGAGTGAGTCATTCTTAATGCCTCTTTCTCCTCTATTATTACAACTTCTACGTCAGATCTATCAACTCTAATTTGTTACGTGTGAAGTCAAACTATCACTTCTTTAGTTGAGGCCCAAATGTAATTTCAAGGCCAAAAACCCAGAGCATCCCCAAATATAACCACTGCTGTTACATTCAAGCCAGGTCTCAGTATGCAATCACTTATCTATACATCTATACAATCCTACAATGTATACTAGTATACAATCTATACAACAGTAGGGACGTGTTATATGGCTGAAAAGCTACAATACACCATCAATTATAAGATATAATGGAAAAACAAACACAAAAACAAACTTGACACTGACAGGAGGAAACAAACTGAGACATCAAAGACTCCATCTTCATTAAAAGCAATTAAAGTACTTTATTGATCAAAGTACTGTATTGATCAAACCACACTTCAGTAAGCACAGCCTGTTACCTGCGGAAGGTTAGGGAGACAGTCTTATCAGTGAAGCATCAGTCAGTGCTGAATGTGTTTACTCTCTAAAAGCCTTAATATTGCTTAATACTCCCTGTGAGAAACAATTTCTTTCACTGCTTGTTACAATGTGTTTCCATGACACTTTAATGTCAGCTCCTGACAGCGACACTCACAGCTCGCCTGCTCCTACAGCTAACATCACAACAATAGAATGTCTTGGCGACCTATAAAGTAAGCTGTATGTCCGTGGGCAAGTCATTTAACATTTCCTGACTGACACACATCACGGCTGCCACTGCTGGATAGTGTTGTGTGTTGTGGTCCATTACTTTCACTGCAAATTTCTTCCCTGCAACACCAGCACGTGTGGACGAACGGACTGTGGTGAAGTTTCAAGTTGGTTATTAGTTTTACGTTGGACCTACGATAGAAGTCAAATTCCAATGTAAAACTAACTTCACCGCGGTGTAAAGCGCCGTTCCCTCACCAAAATATTACGGTAAAGTGTAGAATTTGCGACACCACGAAATAAACGATAGAGCATACTTAAACGATAGATATCATCATGTCGCACAGCCCTATGTATCGTTACTGGGATGTAAAATGACCTATATCGGGATATGAGATTTAAGTTATTTCACACAGCCCTAAGTTCTAGTCATCTTGAAGTGAAGAATGAAGTTAGTAAAGGGTGGACTAAAGAGCTACACAACATGCATGAGATGACAAATGAACACATTTTGTGTCCCTCTGTTTCTACATAGTTGCACTTTTATTTCATTTACAGAAGAAATGGAGATAAATATAACAAATAATTCTTGATGAATAACTTAGGAAATACATTACACCATATTTGGGGCCAGGTGTCAGAACCAGCAGGTTTTGTGTTTGTATTTTTCGCATTGCGAGTGAAATTGTAGCTGACAGACCAACATGAGATTTGGTCTGCTGCTGGAGGTAACTATTTCCATTCAGTGTCATAACAGCAGGTAAACAGAGGCAGTCTGATGACACTGAAGGTGTGTTAGTGCCAACAGGGCCGACAGAACAATTAACACTGTGTCACTGTGTAACACACACAGCGGAGCCCCTTCAGCCTCAGGTTGTCACAGGCACCATTTGTGAAATTGGTACTGCATGTGTACTTTCATGCTGTTGATAAAGACGGAGAAATATATGAGCACCATACGTAAGGCAGCTCTGAGGAAAAAAAGACCTTGTCTTTGAACAACCTTGATTTAGTATTTTACATTTGTGCTTTCAGCATTTAGCAGTGTGATCTCTCTATTCTATGAAAAGGTTTTTTAAAAAGCAAAAAGGATAACAATACACAACCAAACACATTTGAACAGACAGATAAGATACTTAATTCCTTTACTGCTCACCTGATGAACACAGACATTGCACTTGTCACAGAAGACCATCTCGTTGCCGTCCTCTCCCTCTGGTGAGCGGCAGACGTCACAGACCACGTCCTCGTCGTACTCGATGCCCAGGCCTTCCTCTGTCTCAATGGCCTGCTGCATCTTCTCCTCACACACGCTCTCCAGCTCGACCAGAACACACTCCATTGTCAGCTCGTCCAGCTCTGGTAATGCTGGTTGCAAGAAGACCGTAAACTTCATTAGTTTTTGTTGATATTGTGGAACTCAACTAGAAGAATGAAATCATCTGAAATTCTGGTAAGGCAAGAAAGACTGGGATAAAGTACGGGGAAGGAGGGGCGATTAGAGGAGTGTTAGCTGGTGTGAAGTTCTTCTTTAATGTTTTAGAGAAAATGTTTTTCTTTAAGAGAGGAACCTGTCTTGACGCTGATCTCCATTGTTCAAAAAGTAGAAAGTGTTGAAAGTAGAGGTTCAGTCATGACTGCTGGTAGGAAGAATAATTATTTGAGAGAATACTGAGCCTATTAGGAGCTATTAAAACAAAAAGTGCAATAACAGTGTCAACACTCAGAGGTTTCTTTTATTTCTTGTTATTGATAAGAATAACAATAATGGGAAGTTGCTCATAGGGAGCAAGTAAATTTAAAATTCCAGGTATTTTTGGCCAAAACACTGTCTCACACTTGTAAATGTACACAGCTTTCCTTTGCAAGTACACCTTAGTTTTCTTTGGGCCGTTTAAAGATAAAATGTGCTGAAAATTAGCTGCAGAATTTGGGAGAATGTGGAGTTGCAGTTGACTCTTTGCTAACCAGAGAAATGCTGCACATGCTCCGTCAGTATGAGCCCATTTGCTATTAAAACCAAAAATTACAAACTTTACCAGTGAGTCCTTCTCGCAGACGGCCTATATGTGCCGATATGTGTCGGCATTAACATTGGTGTTCCTGCTCGATTTGCATCTACAAATAATGCCTCGCTCTAAGACTAGTTAATAGTTGATGGAGACTGATTTAACTGGCAAATGGAAGCTTTCTTCCTTTTAAAAAATTATTTAAAGTACCAGGGAAGTAAACAGTCTGGTTTCCAGGACGGTGACTAACAGATGTGCTATTATCTCATTACATGCAACGAGATTACAATGATTATACAAAATGGGTAACAACAAGGCATTAAATCTCGTGAAATGCCACAAATCCTGAATACAGGCTGTAAGTGAAGAACATGCCAATACAAATCAAATCAAATTAAGATCTGCAGAGTCGAGAAAATCTTTTTCTCAGCGACAATCTCTGGATTTTGGATTTAAAGTAATAGAAAACATTTACAGTGATCACTTTAGATTCAGTATTTACATTGTTCTGAAACATTGCCTCTCAATGCTTCGCCCGAATCCTCCAAGCAGCAATAAAGAAACTTCTGCTTTTCTGGCTTCTGTAGTTGAGGATTATTTATTGATTTATTTGAAGGATTCAGCACTCAGTTGGGAGTTTTTTTTAAATGGAGTTGAGCATCCTCAGTCTCTTTCTATTATTTATGTCACTCAACCCCTTCCCATCCAGAAATAGGAAATAAAAAAAATAAAAACTTTATGGATTCTTGAGCACCTTATTGCCAACAGGCAACAGTTAAAGTGCAACCTGAGCTGCAGTTTCACATGAAGATTCAGAGCTTAGATTCAAAAGAATCAAACCAAAACACTGAAAAAATACTTCTGCATTATTTTGGAAATGCAACATCCACTTTTATATGAAAGTCAGCACCTGCTGCTGTATTGAATTTGGCCATATGATGTTGGCATGAAGGAAGAACTGAAAGGAAGAAACTGTGTGATTGCAGTTGTTGTGGATCTAGAAGCTGCTTTTGAAGCAACAGAGAAAAGGGAAGCAGAGTTAGATATTAACCTGCTGTGACATTTACATCATGACGTGAACACACACACACACACACACACACACGAGGGAGGGAAGCAACACCACTATTCACACATATTTGAGATTGTATGTGTCTGCACGGTGCACTGTGTGTGTACTTTCAGAGTATTTACTTTATATTTATCTTCCGAGTGTGTGTTTCTGTGTTCGTAACATGTGACAGCTGTGTGCACATGCAGATAAACTTTTATCTTTGTGTGTATGTGTGCTGCACTTGTCCGTGTGAAAGCAAAACAGCATCCAACATGCACACACACACACACACACATACAGAGACATAAATAATTTTTTTTCTCTACTTTTCAGTATATTCTACTGCTTTTATTCTGCACATTGTCCATGCATTATGTGCCTTCATGTGCTTTTCTTAACTTATTTAATTGAATGCATTATAATGCCACAAAGCCTGATTTTTAATATCAAGTGTTTTCTCCATTACTACCAATATACGTCCTCTATATTTTCCTGTGTATTGTTTTGCTGTAATGGCTTAGTTTTCTGAAAGAAATGAAGTTCCATCTTAAATAGTAAATAGTCTGAAAAATCTAACTAAATTAACCCTCTAAGCTCAATAGGTAAAGTGTATAAAATTACAGCCTACCCAAGTACACATACACTTGTATACATGTATACAGTACGTGGAGACTGAGACAGAATATGCTCAATCAACCCTTCATGAATCCAGGGCCAGACAACCTTGCCCAACAGAACCAATCAACCGTCTGTTTGTTTGGTCTGGTAGTGAAGGTTATGAGAAACAACCCACTACTGCTCCAGGAAGAGCCAGTGCCTGTGTGTCTGTGTCTGTGTCTGTGTGTGTGTGTGTGTGTGTGTGTGTGTGTGTGTGTGTGATTTAAGGAAAATGTGTCCCCGAAAAAAAGCCTGAAACCCAGCCGGAGATTTATAAACATAATTTCTACGCTTTATCTGAAAAGAGCCAATCAGATATTGAATAAAATGGAGGAGATGGGAGAGATGTTGGGTCAGCAGTTGTCACCATGGCGAAATGTAGCGAAACAGAGAGGGAGTGACAAAAACTAGAATAAGAGGAACAACGAAGACAGAGGAAGCAGGTGATGATAGAGAGGTAAGGGGGCAATGACGAGTAGAAAGGACGGAAAGAAAAGAGGCCAGAAGTATATTTTTATATAAATTTTAAGGTCCTTTAGACTTTTTAAAATCTGACTTAAGAGGTGAATTTTAATATTTTTCCTCATCATGAAAGAGAACAGCTGTTTATTTTATTTGAACATATCTAATAAAAGTTGTGATTGTAAATGAGCAGGTGAGTGTGTACTACTACTTTATCTCTTGATGGCACAAACAAAGTTTTAATGAGAAAACATGGCATCTCTCTTAATTGTCCATGTTTCTGATACTACCAGTTTATGTGTTATCTCAACCAAACAAGAGATGAAACAATTAGTCAATTAATCTATTAGTCAACTGACATCTTTAAAGTCATTTATCGTGGAAAAATGCAAAACATTGCAGCATTCAGCTCCTAAAATGTAAGGTTTTGCTGCTCTTCTTTGTTTTATATCATTGTAAATAGAATATCTTTGGATTTTAAACTGAATTGAAAGTTTATTAGAAAGCTATTTGAAGCAGAACTTTTCACTTGTTTTCTAACATTTTACAGACTAAACAATTTATGGAATAATCAAAAAAAAAAAAAGATTATTATTTACATGCAGCTGTGCCCAGGAATATGACTTTCACAAACACACACAATAAAGTGTGAGATATGGACGTGTCTTTCAAGCCCATATACTTTGGCTCAGCACTTACAATCATATTCGATGTCTTTGGAAACTCTTTTTGACATGATGCTGGTGGCAGTAATGTCTCAGATTTTACTGTGGACCTACATTTACACAGTTTTAGTAAGTATCTTTTCTCTTCAATCTCAATTTTTTTTTTTCTGGCTATTATTATCAAATTAGGCAGCAGGTCAGTTTACACTCACCCATCTGTCTGAACTCGTGGTTGACCAGTTCCAGCCAGGCAACATCCAGATCATCAAGGTCATAGCAGCTGTAGCGCTGGGTGGGAGGAGGCTGGGAGTGGCTCTCCCTCTCCTGCCGGTTGCTGGGCAGACCACCTGTCGACTCCAGCGGCAACCTGGAACAAACACAAAGACACATGCAGAGAGTTTATCACATGGTCTGGAAACACAACAACAAAACTTGTTTTAATATCTTAAAAAATGTGTCTCTAAGTTTGGTTTACAAATATGGACAAAATAAAATAATGAAACAAATTATGAACTTGTAAATGGGTAATAATTCCAGCTCTTGATTAAATAAATAAATAAATTTAATTAAGCAATAAAATACAACATGGAGTACTTTGGTTGCTGGCACCTGTGGGCTGCGGTCGTGTATTAGCACACTGTTAACACTTCCCCCAATACAGCACAACCTCAAGTATTTTATTACTTAATGCCACATTTACACCTTTTACAGCTGCATCAAATACAAAAGTGAAGACAGTGGTAATTTAGTCACTTTGAAAGCCTTAATCATACAGAGTTTATAACATTTTATCCTCCAAAACTGCACGTACACATGTGCACATCCACGCTCTGTGTAAAACATTGAAATCCTGCACTTCTCATGACAACAGGAATAATGAGGAAGCCCTTTTCCCGTCTGGGGCACTTCCTTAGAATCAGGTCGTGACCTCAAAGTCCAGAAAGACTGATTCAGAGTCTTTCTGATGAAAAGAAAAAAACACTATCCAAACAATGACAAATTAAGTGGTTGTAAGCGACCATGACAGGAAGCTCCTCCAGGCAGTGTCTGGTCTCCGGAGCCTCGGGCCTGAATGTCTCTCTGTCAACAACAGCAGGAAATGGGGTCAGGAACTCTGCTCGACCCACTGGGAACCAATAAGGACTCAAACACGCTCTTACACACATTTGTGCACACACACATACAGACCCACATAAAACATCTGGATCCTCTAAGAGCTAATAGATAAATATAGCGTGAAAATGTATAAACTGTACCGACCGATCACACATACTCACCCGCTCGAAAAGAGCTCTGTGTTTTGCATAGTAACACACACACCCATATGATTCACATGCTCGCCTAGTGAAGTTTTGACCTTTGTGTGAAAAGGTGAAGTGCATCAGTGATCAAAATAACAAAACAAAACAACCTTTTGCTCTCTGTTCTGCTCCCTGTCTTAAACTCCTCATTATCATACTGCTCAGTTATTATCATCATCATCCTCCGTCAGTGCTGTCGCCCTCACATCAAGCAGCACAGTGATCATCGTCATGGTCCTCATCATTATCATTATCCTCGCCATTATCATCACCACCACTGTTGTCGTCATCATAACAACAGCTGCCACAATTTAATTCAGTAATCTTCACTAGGTTGACATCAGCTTCACATGTGTTGCCAGCACACTTACAATAGGAAGTGAAAATAACAAAAACAATTAAATAAATAATTTGCATAATAATAGTCATTAATAGACAAAAAACAATTTCTTTGAACACTAAACCAATATGGGAGTTATTCCAGAATACTATAAAATGCACGAGTAGGAGAACAATATTACACTATAAAATGTCTAATTGTCAATATCGTAAACAGTATAAAAAATCTTTACTTAATTCCTCCTCATTTTTGCATCCTTTTCTTATCCTTTCACTTCTAATTCGACTTTCTTGTTTTTTCGATGTTTGTTTGTTTGCTGTTGTTTATATAATAGGAAACGCATGCAAATCTCTCTGTGGACAAGCAAAACACTGGCCTGCATATGTACACATGAATCTTTCTGTGGCTTTGTTTTGTGTATATGCAGACGCCCCAAACAATCCTTGATGTCACCATCCCAGTGATATGAGCATCAGTGATCAACAGCATTTTCACTGCTGATACTGCATCCAGCAATCTAATAAAAAGCACAAATCTGTGTTCTGTCTATGAATGACCAACTTAGACCACCAGTACTATGGAGACAAAAGTGTAATCGTTAATAAAGCCTAAATTCTGCTATCTTTCTGGGAGGACAAAATGGCAGAAAATTAAACCCTGTTTTGGCCTGGAATCAGACTGATATCTGATACTGGATAAATAGGCCCTGGCCAGTCAACTGGCAGGGGAGAAAAGATAGAGACAAAGACACAAAAGAGACACACACACATTCACAGGGAGAATAGGTTTCATACTGGAGACACTGGGCTGGTTGTTTCTGTTATGTAACGTTAAAAGCAACTACAGTGTCTTATTACATTGTTGGTGGTTATCAAAGGATAAGGCATGTTTAATAAGGCTTCTATAGTTTTTGTTATTGTCAACAGATCCCATAAAAATACCAAATGTGTCTCATAAAAAAAAGGCTGAACAATTGGGCACTGTACTTGTTAGGAAATGTTACTAATATAATAATAATAGCTTTATTTGTATAGCACTTTTCAACACAGGTAACAAAGTGCTTTACAGCAATCAATGTTCAACATAGACAAGTAGAATAAAAATTAAATAAACAAAATGAATTAATAAAATAAATAAAACAAACAAGTAGGCGATGAATTGATTTCTGGCTGAGACAGGTATAAAAGAGACTTACAATAGTTGAGGAGATAAACCATGGATGAGTTTCTCCAGAAATAAAAGACTTAACCTTGGATATACTTCACAAATGATAAAAACATAACTGAACAACTTTCTTTACATGTAGCTCAAAACAAAAATCCTGGTTAAAAAAGTTAAAAGTTAGATTTCCCCAAGTTCACACAGGTTTGCCATGATCTGAGTTCTATTAGTTGGGGGGAACAAGTGCAATGACATCCAATTTTGTAAGATTTAATTGTAGAAAGTAAAGAGTGTTTTATTTCAGCAAGGGATTTGCAGAGGGTTTCACTGATACTCAAGCAAGAGTAAACAGTGCACTTGATGGGAACAACTAAAAGTGCAGATTAATACACATTTGCTTCTCTGATCAGTAATTACAACAGCAGGAAAATAAAATAAACTACATTGGCTGTATTCCTTCATTACCATGAACGTGTAACCAGTGCAACCGTGTGGCTCATTAATAACAATGGAGGTCTATGGCACAGAGGAATAAGATAGATCAGGCTATGGTGACATAGACATTACCTGTTCATAGGATCAGTTCATTGCTGGTCTTGGTCTTTTCTTAGGGTTTGTTGATAATAATAAAAAATGTAGAGTATATTCAGGTATAAACTGAGTACCAAATATATAATCTGATAACCAGTCAGTAGTTTAACAAACAGATCTCTTCAGCAGAGTGCTGTTGAATATGATATTCTTAGCTTTGTTTATTCTAATATGGGCTTTATAACATTTAGTTTTATGACTCTGTTGCCGTTTCTTTGGCTTCTAGCTGTGACTGGCAGTGCGGATTTGCTTTAGCAACATAGGGATGTCAAAACAAAAAGAAATGAAGGAAAAAGGAGAAAAGAAAATTAGGACAAAATATGATCATGAAAAGAAGACAAGTGAGACACCCAGCCAACATTTAGACGCTGAGTAAATGATACCTGTAGCAAGCCTGCATACATTTAGAGCAAAACTGATATCACCTGAAGACAGGAGGATAACAGCTATGTCAATTTGTTAAGTGACCCTTTCTGACTTACTGATATCAGTTCAAAAGTCGCATCATCATCATCTCTCTATCACTATGTGTGGTGACATTTAAGGTGAGCTCCCAGTTTGGATGTCTGAGGTACAGGAGACGAAACATGAAGTGAGACATGAAAGGAAAAGCGCTGCCTCATAATAATGTCAAGCCATCCCATCTAACAGGATGTGAGTCAATGGAGGTCAGAGTACAATGTGTTCTTCCACTGGTAAGTATCGTGTATCATCCCCACCCCACACACACACACACCTTACATAATGTAGGTAAACAAAACCATGTGCAAAAGGTCTCCCTTTGTCTAGGCTTTATCGTGACTACAAAGGCAGAGATAAAGTGCAGAGTCATCCGTCAATACTGAAGACAATAACAACTCTATGTTAAACTGTAAATAGATTTTCTGTCTTTTTATTGGGTTAACACTGAATCCTGATAAATGTATGTGAGCCAAAGAGCTTTAAAAGTTTAGATTTAGACTTTAGATTAATGCACTTTTACAAATATATCAGTTTGAAGAAGAGGAGACAGGGATTCCAAGTCTGGCTTGAGAAATATAATACTGCAAAATAAGGTCTAAAAAGTGGAAAATGAAATGACGAAAGCAGACAATTAGTAAAGATTCTTCACAGCAAAAACAAGGTACAGTAGAAGATGTCCTAGACACACACCAAAGCAGAATAACTCTTCATTGTAGAAAGATTTCTGAGTATTTCTACATTTCTTTTAATAAAAAAGTATGTTTTTAATCACTAAGTTGACAATTTCACATCAAAAATGTGTTCCCTTTTTCAACCCATTGTCAGTCTATAAGAAGGATATTTTTAGCTAGTAATAATAATTAAGAAACCTTCAAAATCACTTCTGTTTACACTTGAGGAGTGCTAATGAGGAGAGCAGCAGAGAGGGAATATTTAGATGTTCCCTCCTTGGAATCATAACAATACTACAGCTCAGTTTGCTTTGATCTTTATGGTGCGTTCCATGAAATATTTATCAGGGCGAACTACACACCGTGGGGCTCTGATTCTTAAAACAATAAAAACCAAAGTTCCCCCTCCATCCCTCTTCCAGCTCTTAGGCCCGGAGGAGAAGTGTCTTTGGTTTACCACATGGGATGTGCCTCTGGGGAGTATAGGAGTACAGCGAAAGTGTAAAGAATATCTTGTGGCATTGCACTGCTGAATAGGATGTTATATGAGCACGTGCAGGGAGGACAGCTGATGTATATGTTTGTGAGTGCGTGAAAGAGTTAGAGACCGGGGTGGAAATAATTTAGTTTTTTTCACAATTACACTGTCCACAGTCCACAGTCTTCACTTCCTAAGTAAGCAGAAACAACAGGCTTAGTATAATAACTTATTCTTATTTTATGCTAATGTCCTATAAAAAATGGCTAGGCTTAGTTACATATGAATTACGATCATTCGCAATTTATCATTGCAGCTTCTAGACATTCTTTTTTTCTCAACTTAAAGGAAATACTAGAAGCG